GATCTTCGTCGTCTCTCAGGATGCGAATAATCTCAGAGAAGTTCTCAAATACTCAGCTCTTATGCTTTCTGAGCTTCGTACTTCGAAACTATCTCCTCAGAAATATTACGATCTTTGTTAGATTCTCATCTTCCCCAGAAACTTTGAATTTTCTCGATTTCGTGCTTTTTGTTTGACCGTTTTCTATTTGATTTCTTCTTTGGGTTGATTTTAGATATGCGAGCTTTTGATCAATTGAGGCAGCTTGAGATTTTCTTTCGAGATGAGAGTAGGCATGGATTACCTGTGGTTGATTTGTATGAGCTTGTTCAACATGCCGGGAACATCTTACCCAGAATGTAAGCAAAATGATTTAGATTTAGATTTTGATTTGATCTTTGAGCTTGTTTTCTATATCTCTTGATCGGAATAAGGATCTGATGGTTTCAATTATCTGTAGCTAACCTAGATTGGACTATGGTTATGAGATTAGATTAGAAAAGTGGTCATGGAAATGAAATACCAAAAGATTTGGAAAGTTTCAGTAGAGAAAATGGACGATCTCGTATTGAGTATTTTTTTTTTTTTTTCCCTTTGGGCTTCGATGATTCGTCCTGCATTGTAATTGAAACTCCTGATCTCGTGTCTACCAGGTATTTGCTATGTACAGTAGGGTCTGTTTACATCAAAAGCAAGCAAGCTCCTTCTAAGGATGTTCTTAAGGATCTCGTGGAAATGTGTCGAGGTGTTCAGCACCCAATTCGCGGGTTGTTTTTAAGGAGTTATCTTGCACAAGTGAGCAGGGATAAGTTACCTGAGATTGGCTCAGACTATGAAGGGTGGGTAGTAGTGACTATGTTTTTCCATGAGATTTGGGTGCCTTAGTTGTTTGTTTACTCTCCTTGTAACTTTCCTGCAGAGATGCAAACACAGTGATGGATGCTGTTGAATTTGTGCTACAAAATTTTACAGAGATGAATAAGCTCTGGGTTCGAATGCAGCATCAGGTGAATTTTTGATCTGTGAAGAATTGATGGTAGTTAGATACACATAGCACCTCTGCACTTGCATGCCTCTGACTGAAGCATAAATGAACCATGAAAAGCATGCTTTTGGTCATGCAGGTTGTGTGGTGCTTGTGAATCATTGATATTGGTGAACCTGAGATGAAGTATTCCTTGGACTGCAGGGACCTGGAACAGTTCGAGAAAAGCAGGAGAAAGAGAGGAACGAACTTCGTGATCTTGTACGATCAATACCACTACTGGACTGAATACCCTGTTTTACCAGGTCACTGTCCAATAAGTTGTGTCTAATGTTTTCTTCTCAGGTTGGAAAAAATTTGCACGTTCTTGGACAGATCGAAGGTGTTGACCTTGAGATGTACAAAGAGACTGTTCTTCCTAGGGTCCTAGAGCAGGTTCAGCAGCTCATTTTTGCATCTATTCTCCACTTTCCCTTTGTTATGGGCGAGGCGAAAGTTACTGTATAATCTATTAAATCTGGAAACTTTGAACAGGTCGTCAATTGTAAAGATGAGCTTGCTCAGTATTATCTGATGGAGTGCATAATTCAAGTCTTTCCTGATGAGTACCATTTGCAGACTCTTGAGACCTTATTGGCTGCTTGTACTCAACTGATGGTGGGTAGGCTAGCAATCAAATTTTTTTCTCTTTCCTTCTTTAATATGCAATTCTATGTTATCTAAAGTGGTTTGTCGGGTGCTTTCTGATGAAGTGTTCTTATGCTGCTATTTTCTTCTGAAGAGGTCTTTCTGAGCTGTCTGTATTGCCATTCACTATTTTGTTGTTTGCTAGTATTTGGGGTATTCTTTTGTTTATTTATTGGTGACTAGTGCTTTGGCTATCCAATTAGAAATTTTGAAGGTCTCTGATCTCCTGAAATCACAAAACTCTGAGTAGGGAATCCTTGACAAAAAGCATTTTGTTTTTAGTTGATGCTCTGCACTTTTGTGACTTGAGATCTTTGACCTTTTTCCTTCCTCTCTGACCTTAAGACATATTTTCTCAGCCAACGGTTGACACCAAGATAGTGTTAACCCAACTGATGGACCGGTTGTCAAACTATGCTGCTTCAAGTCCCGATGTAAGTGTTTATTGAGCTATATAGGTACATTTTTGTTTTGTTTTATTTTTAGTGTTACTGAGATGTCTTTCCTATTCCATACTTCTGGGCAGGTGTTACACGAATTTTTGCAAGTGGAAGCCTTTGCTAAATTGAGCAATGCAATTGGAAAGGTTGGTTCCATGAGAGAAACATAACGGCCCTTAGAATAGTCCTATGTACCAGTACCATGAGAAGTAGTCAGCTTTATTGTAGTTTGTCAGCTCATATTCTAAATTCTGTAGATCAACAGAC